AGGATTCCTCAAGACAAGCCTGGGGGTCTCCTGTCATCTCGCTCTCCTGCCTCTCTCTAAGCAAGCCACCACAGCCTGTACCCGGCCTCCAATCCAGTCTCCATCTCAGACCTGTTCTTATAAACTCCAGGCTCTCTATTCAGCTGCTTTCCTGACATGCCATCTGTGGTACCTCATGGTGCTCTCCACTGTAATGTGTTCAATGTCGGGTCCTAGATCGTTTCTCCACATACGAACCATCTACTCCGTTACTAGGAACTCTGGTGGCGTAGTGCCTAAGGCCACTCCTCAGAAGGAAGGTTGGGCAATCTACTTCTGTAGAGATCCTGCCTCAGAAACCCAAGGAGGGGTTACTATGAGTTGGGTCCAACTCGACGGCACATAACAACAACAACAACAGCTCTGTTACTAGAGGCCTGGGAGTCATCCTTGGCACTTCCCTTCCTTCACATTCCACATCCAATCCATAGCTAAGTCCTTTCCATTCTACAGCCAAAATATACCTTTAAGATGTCCACTTTTCTCTCTGGGCTAAGCCAGGGTGTCCTGTCCACCCAGGACAACTGAAAGAACCTTTAACTGGTCTCCTGCTGCCAGTCCTCCCTCCCGTTAGTTCTTCTCTGAGCCCTTGGAACTTCTGCTTTTTCTTCATGTTGTTGTTAGGTGCTGCTGAGTCAGTTTCAACACAGAGCAAGCCTATGCACAGCAGAACAAAACCAGTCCTGTGCCAAACTCTCAGTCGCCACCATGCCGAGCCCACTGTTGCAGCCACTGTGTTAATCCATCTCATTGACACTCTTTCCCTTTTTTGTTAATCCTCTACGTTCCAAAGCATGATCTCCTTCTGCAAGGACTGGTCCCTCCTGATAACATGACCAAAGTACCAGAGACAAAGTCTGGCCATTCTTGCCTCTACAGAGCATTCTGGCTATATTTCCTTCAGGACAGATTTGTTCATTCTTCTAGCATTCCATGGTACATTCAGTCTTCTTCACCACGACCAACACCATTCAAATGCATCAATTCTTCTGTGGTCTTCCTTATTCACTGTCCAGGTTTCACATGCATGTGAGGCAACTGAAAATACTATGGCTTGGGTCAGGTGTACCTTAGTCTTCAAAGCGATAGCTTTCCTCTTTAACACTTACCTTTCTTCCATTTCTCATTGCTTACTGCCCAGCTGTGGTATAATCCATATTGGAGGCTGTGGCCTTTGACCTTCATCAGTAAATGCTTCAAGACATCCTCACTTTCAGCAAGCAAGGTTGTGACATCTCCATATCACAGGTTATTAATGAGTCTTCCTCCAATCCTGATGCCACATTCTTCTTCATATAGTCCAGCTTCTCAGATTATTTGCTCAGCATACAGATTGAATAAGTATGGGGAAAGGATGCAACCCAGATGCACTCCCTTCCTAATCTTAAACCATGCAGTGTCCCCTTGTTCCATTCATATGACAGCCTCCTAATCTATGTACAGGTTCCTCATGAGTACAATCAAGTGTTCTGGAATTCCCATTCTTCTCAATATTATCCATAATTTGTTATGATCTACACAGTGCAATGCCTCTGCATTAAAAATTCCACTTCCTCCAAGAAGGCTTTCTCTGTCCTGTCTTGCAGCTCTGGACCATTTTCCCCATTGCTCTCTGACAACTACAACTGTATTTTTAAACATTGTGGTGTTTGCGTTGTCAACATCACTGTCTCCATTAGACCGTAAATCTGAGCACCAAGGACCTCTGGAATAGAATTCCTGATACAGCACTTGATGAACTAAATAATAAGAAAGTGAAACTGATGGATAAAACCTCATCAGCATAACTGTCAAGTCTGTGTAACAGTCGCTCACAATGTGGTCTATTATTTGTGTGTCCATCTTAACCAATATTTTGGATTTTATAGGCTCTCAGGAAGGACATTATTAGGTCAGATATATGAACATGCTTAGGACTTGGAACATATTTTAAGACTGAAAACAGCACATTGTTTTCTGCAAAGACTGAAAACATGTCCAGTCTCAGCAGCAATATATGAGAAGTCTGACTTCAGTCATGTTTTTGTTGGCTTGTTTTTCCTGACTTGTTAGGTGAAGTTGGTATTTGTGTCTCTAGGTTCCTGTTACCGCTGTTATGGGGCCATGGGTGGGAGCCCTGCTCCAAGTACTTTGAGAGAAGGGTCAACATCTGAATCATGTTCCTGTTTCCTTGTCCTTGTGGATCCAAATGATAAGTTGGTTACTGAATGAAACTCTTAACCAATTCATAAAGTGTTCATGTGCATTTGTTGTTGTTGTTAGGTGCCACTGAGTTGCCTCCGACTCACAGTGATCCTGTGCACAGCAGAAAGAAACACCTCCTGGTCCCCACCAGCTCCACAATCCCCGCTATACTTTAGCCCATTGCTGCAGCCACTGTGTCAGTCCATCTCATTGAGGGCCTTCCCCTCCTTCGTCAACCCTCCACCTTACCAAGCATGACATCCTTCTTCAGGGAATGGTCCCTTCCGACAACAGGACCAAAGTAGGTGAGATGAAGTCTGGCCATTCTCGCTTCCAAGGAGCATTCCGGCTACACTTCCTTCAGGGCAGATTTGTTAGTATTTTTAGCAGTCCATGGTACTTTCAGCATTCTTCGCCAGCACCACAACTCAAAAGCATCAGTTCTTTTTTGGTCTTCTTTATTCATTGTCCAGCTCTCACGTGCACATGAGGCAACTGAAAATACCATGGCTTGTGTCAGGCGCACCTTATCTTCAAGGAGACATCTTTGCTTTTCAGCACTTGAAAGAGGTCATTTGCAGCAGATTTGCCCAGTGCTATACGTCGACTGATGTCCTGACAGCTGCTTCCATTGGCGTTGATCGTAGAACCAAGCAATGTGAACTCTTTGACAACTTAAATCTTTTCTCCATTTATCAAATGCTGCTTATATACATTTGGAACTGTGAAAATTCCCAATTTTCTACATTTTTCCCTTTTGGTGTCACATCTTTGGGTCTGGCTGGGGCTGGCTTTGCTGCCATCCTTGCAGGACATACACATGGGCAGACAAGGTACTTGGGTATGTTGAGGCCCTGACAGCACAGTCAGAATGCCCCGGCTTCTGCGGGGCCTCTGGGTCAGCACAGAGGTGTGAGTTTAGGGTGTCTTGTGGAGCGGTGGTTCCGATCTTCCCTCCTGACCTCCCTCCCACTGTAGGCTCCGAGTGGCCAGAGATGGTTAGTGGAACAAATGGCACATTTCAGCCACACAAGGACACCTCTGTGGCTGCCACCTTCCTGGAGAAGCTCAGTGGCGGATGGACTGACCAACCCAGCTCAGCCGAGTGGGCTGCAGCCATTTGCTCTTTGGTTCTGGCCCCCGTTCCAAGTGAAGCCCATCTGTGATGCAGTGAAAGCAAGTAGGTACAATGGGCAGGGATGCTTTTTCACCCTAGGCTTTTAAGGAAAGTGCTGGAAGAGCAGCACCTGAACCACAAACCCCCAGTGGGACGCCAGGCTGGACTTTAGGATTTTCACCGAAATCCCGTCCCATGGTCTCACTGTGTGCGCCCCCAGTGCTTCCTTCTCATTTCTTCTACCTCAGATCTCTCTCGTTGCACTTTCACCTTGCTTTGGGGCGGAGCCACTCAAACCTTTAAGATACAAACTTGTCTTCCTCCAAGCAAACAATCCTCTGGGCTTGTGCCACATCCCTCGCCCCCTCTCATCTTCTTTTAGTTTGTATCTGTGTCTGCCAAGATGCCCAGCCTCTGCCTTGCTTCAGATGTCTAGGCTCACCTCTGAAAAGTGCCACTCCTGGATTTCTCTTAACAAACACGCCTGCGCACATGCTTTTATGGGGCTCTGTGTCTCCCATAGGTCAAGTGTACTCTTAGCGTGTGCTGCACACACTCAGCACGTGGCTGGAACTCCCCGAGAGCCAATATATAGTCCCCAAATCAGTGACATTACTTTACAGCAAGAGCTGGTGTTTGGCCCCAGGCTGAAGCCCTAAGAAGGCTAGTCTCCTTTTCTGAAGACTCGAGCACCACGCCGTACTTGGCTATTTGCTGACATTACATCTCCCACAGAGGAAAGGAGCTGCTCTCACTGAAGATCTTCGAGGTAACTGATGCTAGTCCATAGGCAATTCCAAAACAGGGCTTCCAATAACTAAGCAACCCGTCAGCGTGAAGGCACAGTGGGCTGCTGATCTGGCCTGTGGAAGGGATACCATGCCATGCGCAGTGACAAAACCTGGCCCCTGCTGAGTGGCCGTGACACGCCAGTCACCAGCCAGGCCCTCAGTGAAGTGTCACTACCAGTCCTGGTTTCCATATGAGGTCACTGAGACGGAGCTAAAGCACACTGCCTATAAGCACAGGGGCTAGGGCTGCCCGTCCAGTGCAGGCCACCAGAGTCTGCACCCTTGGCTGCATCACCCCTCTCTGCCGACTCTCTGGCCACCTCCTCAGAACACTGTCTTGCCCGTGGTCCCTCATTTTAGGGCCTGTCAGGGAAAGGAGCTCTGGTAGCATAGTGCCTAAGGCACTTGACTGCTAACCAGAAGGCTGGCGGTTCAAACCCACCAGCCACTCCTTGGAAGGAAGGTTGGGCAATCCTACTTCTGCAGTGTTACTGCCTCGGAGACCCAAGGAGGGGTCACTATGAGTCGGGGCCGACTCAACGGCAAATAACAACAACAACAACAACAGGGAAAGGCTAGGCTCCTAAGCCTTCCCAGACCCACTGCTGCACTCAGGGATGTGGTCCTTCTGTGGGCAGGAGGGGCCTGGCAAGAGGCTGCCTCTCCCTGAGATTCTTACTTATCTCCTGCAAAGAGATGGTGATGCTCGGCCACATCATACGATCGCTAAGGGGCGGCTCAAGGGCATCCTTATGGATTAAAGACGTGGGCTGCCAGAATCCTGAGTCCCCACCAGGCCGCTCTCCTGCACACAGCTCGCTAACACAGCTCTTCAGAGCCGCCCTTGGACTGAAAAGCCAGCCACTCACCAGCGCTGGGATCTGCAGGCGTTTCGCCCTCCTCCGAGTCTTCCTGTTCCTGCATGGTTGGCCTCTCCCCTCGCTCCATCTGGGACATCAGGTCTGGTTTGGAAATTGCATAGTCTGGGCAGAAGAAATGGAAGATAAGAGACTGTGGGCTCAGGTCACCTGCATGCTGTTGAAGGTGTCCCTCTGGCGAGTGTGAGGCCAGGAGCAGACTCCTCTACCAGAGACTGACAGTGTTGGAAACAAAATGGGCTGAGTCTCTAATCCCTTCTCCTAGAGCTGTGTGTGTTAATGCACGTGTGCACATGTGTGCGCACGCATACACATGAGCCACACTTTGTGTCTGTGCACACACGTGTACATTTCGTCTGCTTGCATGCACTTGTGAGCCACATTTTGTGTCGGTGTGCACACGTGAGCTACATTTCATGTCTGTACACACAAACATGAATACTTTGTCTGCATGCACACATGTGAGCCACATTTCATGTCTGCGCATACATACTTGTGACCCGCTTTGTATGCACACATGAGCATTTTGTCTGATGCACCCATGTGTGAGCCACATTTTGTGTCTGCATGCACACATGTGAGCCACATTTTGTGTCTGTCCACACACATGTGAGTCACATTTTGTCTGCATGCACACATGTGTGAGCCACATTTTGTGTTTGCATGCACACATGTGGCCACATTTCATGTCTGCACATATACATGTGAGCCATTTTGTCTACAGGCACACACATGAACATTTTGTCTGATGCACACATGTGAGCCACATTTTGTGTCTGCATGCACACCTATGTGAACTACATTTTGTGTCTGTGCACACACACGTGTGAACCATTTTTTCTGCAGACACACGTGTGAGCCACATTTTGTGTCTGCATGCACACATGTGAACTACATTTTGTGTCTGTGCACAAACACATGTGTGAACCACATTTTGTCTGCATGCATACATGTGTGAGCCACATTTTGTGTCAACACAGATGAGCTGTATTTCATGTCTACACACACACATGTGAGCCATGCACACACGTGAACCACATTTTGTGTCTTTGTGCACACACGAGCCACGTTTCATGTTTGCGCACACACGTGAACCACATTTTGTCTGACACACACACGTGTGAGCCACATTCTGTCTGCACACACACATATATGAGCCACATTCCGTGTCTTCCCAGGTAGGGGCTGGCAGTGAGGGACAGCCACCTCCCCATGAACATGGGCCCATCTGGAATCTGGGGCTGGTAGTGCTCACAAATGGTCAATGGCTGCTCAGGATTCTCATAGCAAAGGCCCCAGAGAACTGAAATTTTATAAAGTAAACTTAATCCCAATCTGAAACATAAAAACCATAAAACAAAAGAGTGATAGGCTCCAACACATAGAAAGGTTAAAGTTCTTTGGAAATGAAGTAGAAAAACAGCCTTTGAAGGGATATTTGCAACATGTCTGTACACACACACACACACACACACACAAAGGGTCGACAGTCATGGTTATATACAAGCAGATTCTACCGTATGTAAAAAATAAGCAGAGAAAGCAAAGATATGAATGGGCAATTCACAGAAATACAAATGGCCAGTAAATGTAGGAAAGGATAGACAAATTGGTCATCAAAGAAATAGTTTAAAATGAGGTGTCAATTTTTCACCCATGAAAAAGATAAGTATTTGAAATAACAAAGCATCACTTTGGACCAGGAGATAGGGAAACAGGGATTCTCCCACACTGTGGTATCTACAGAAACTGGTTCCACCTTTGCGAGGACAATATGCCAACAGCTGTCAAACTGTAAATGTGTGTCCTCTGTGATTTGGCAACTCCCCTTCCTGGAACTGTCCTCTCCTGTGAGTGCAGACAGAGAGGTCTGTCACAACACCTTGAGAGAGACAGTAGCCTCCCACTCCCCAAAAACAGAGCTTGTGTTGGCTGGTTCACCTGGGACACGCATGGTCTGTAGTTGGAGGCATGTGTACTGACATGAAAAGCTGTCTGTGACACACTGCTAAGTAAAACGAGTGAATGAGCCCATTTCTGTAAGCTGCGAACTACGGGCATGCTTTGAATTAGGGCTGCATGTGTGTGAAAAGATGAGGAGGGACAGAGGCCAAAGCGCAGTGCTGACTTAAATTGTTGACTTTTTACAAGTACGTGTGTGTTTATAATTAATACAAAAAGGAAAGTGAATTTAAAAAAGGAACAAAGTCATCCTGTGGAGAGGTGTGTATGTATACAGTTAGCAAAGTCTAGCAAGAATCCAACTTTCTGAGCAGCAAAACATCCATGCTGTTTAACTTCTGTTCTGTACTCAGAGCGCCCCATGACTGAGAAATGGACACACATAAGACTAAACTCCATTTGTCCAGGTTTTCATCCTTAAATACCCTTAATGAAAATCACAAGGTACCACAGGAGGAGAACCCACAGAAGTTGGGGTAAGACAGACCTCAGTGAAACGGTGACCTGGTGGCGGGGCCAACAGTCAGCCTCCTGGTCACAGTTTCTCGTCTGCATGATGGGGACAAGAGCTAGGGAAGAGAAGACCTCAATGATCGACGGTGGTTGGCCAACTGAGCATCACGTAATGTGGTGCTCCCGGTGCACAGTAGGTAGGCAGTGCACCTGTGTTCTCCCATTCTTCCTTCCTTAATCAAAACGTTTGCTGGGAAAACAAAATTTTGAAAAATAAGGCCCACAGGTGAACGACAGTAACACACAGGCGAGAAGCTACCACCTCTGGGGTTTTGGGCCCTTGCTCCTCCAGAGTGTGGCTCGGTTTACAAGCTGCTCTGCTCTGCACGGCCCTGGTGTGCGTGGGCGCTGAGTGTGTCTATTTTAACTCATGTTCTCTAAAGGGTTCAGTTTCTCTTGTGTTCTACTACTGGGACTACTAGAGCTCTGAATGCCCAAAGTTCCGCATTACCCTAAACTGCCGTGAATGGCACCGTGGCGAGCGAAGGCGTCTCCTTACCCATGGAGACCAGAGACTCATAGTTGCCCCTCATGACGTTCCTGTAGAGCTCCTTCTGCCACTCGGACAGGTTTCCCCACTCCTGCTCCGAGAAGTGGACGGCGACGTCATCGAACGTGACAGGAACCTGAAACCACAGACACGAGCTGGGCGCTGACCATCTGGGAGGCAGTCACAGGCCCCGCGGCTGCCAGCTCCAAGACAAAGAGTGGCTTGAGCACCTGGCCCTGCTCAAGCACCTCTTCCTTGGGACGGGAGTGGGAAAAGCCCAAAGGCCCGCTGCTGAGGTCTCACTGCAGTGTGGCAAATTGCTTACATACCCTTCCAGCCCAAGCCTTTGCAACTCCCACCAATGACTGTGTGGGCTATGCAGATGAGTGCTTGTGACCCACCAGGGGGATTGGACAGCCTGCTAGTAATGTAAACAAAGTATGGTATCCTTGTGGGGGTGGGGCCATGCAAATAAGGTGTATGGACCCCTACAAGGGGATTGGTCCATTTTGCCATCCCCTTAAAAGGAGCTATGGGGAGAGAGAAGCTGAAACATGGAAGACAGGAAGACACAGCAGCACAGCAGCAGCAAAGATGGTGAAGCCAGACAGCTGCAGTGGGGCTCACCAACCCTATGGCTGGAGTTGTAACACCTGCCCGAGAAGGCTTCCGGCCGGGCCCAGCGGCAGAGGCAAGAAGCAGCTATCCTGACAGAGGAGCTGCGTTGAGTTGTTCCTGCTACTTCCGAGTTGATTCTGATCCTGAGTTGTACCCTGTTACTTTCCTAGTAAACCACTTAGCTGTAAGTACAGTGCCTGGGTTCTGTAAGACCTTGCAGTAAATTACTGAACCCAGCAGCAGGAGGGAGAGTACTGAGGGGAGGAGGAGGTGGTGGTGTGAGAGATGACGGAGAAGTGGGACATCTGGGACATCTTTATCCTCTGCCTCATAGGGACCACCTTGTGCTAATCCTCTCCCCTGCTCACTTAGGACCCCTCTAGAAATCTGCCTGGGCTTGGCCATGGTCCTGGCTCCAGATGAGGGACTCACTTCATCTGATCCTGCTCCTGGCACAGGTCATCTGCTTGGAAGTGTGTCTGCAACCGGCAGAATGGCCACCACCAAGAAAAGAAACTTAGGTGCACAGCAGGGATGTGCAGGGGTGTGGGCCCCACCCTAGACCTGCAAGATCCCACTCTGCGTTTAGTAAGCTCCCCAGGGCCGTCATCTGCACGATAAAACTTGAGAAGCACTGGCGTGGGAACACAGGCTCTGTTTCTCAGCTCCAGATGTAAAAGTTTTCTCCTTAAGTAGGGCTGCAAAAAGGGAAACCAGCAGCCCAAAACAAGTGAGAGAACCAGTCCCTATGAAGCTGTTGCAGAATCTTCTGGAAGCTCCTATGTACACCCACCATTCTGTAGGCCTGCAGGCTACCTCTCGTGGCCACATGTCACCAGCATGAACATGGCATGTGAGTCAGCTTGTCAAATACTGGGCAGGACCCAGCCCTGTGACATCTCACCCGCACAGTCTCCGCCTCGGCAATAGCCCGTAAATGCCACTCAGCACTCTGTGACCCCCTCGCAGTGTCGGGGCTCTGCTTTTCTACACTGACAGCCTGGCTGTGGGGCCTCGACTCTGTTCTGCTAACCTCGTCAGTGGCAGAGTCCTCCGATGGTCTTCCTGGCCTCGGGGCACCTAGAGTTTACTCTGGTTTCTTCTCTTCTCCACCATCCCTGCCCTTTCCCACTAAGCTACGTCCCTAAAGCAGACACTCCCTTCCGCCCACTTCCTCGGGAAGCCTGGTCAAGCAGGCTGACCTTGGGCACCTCGCCGTTGCTGCCCGGGGGCAGCCGCAGGATCCAGAAGTTCCTATTCTTCAGCAGGTTCTCCATGTTCTCCAGGCGCCGCTGCAGCAGCCCGTACTCCTGCAGCAGCGTCCCCAGCACGACCCACTTGCTCTCTAGATGGTTGGCAAACTCCACGGCCGTCTTCTCACAGTCTGCGATCTTTTTCTCGTTTGTCCCCGTGCGGCCCTCCAGGGTCAGTAACCTCGTGGCCTGGGCCTCCAACTTCCTCTCCACGGCTTGCACTGCGGCCCACACGGCCAGGCGGGTGATCTCCGCGGTTGGCAGGGGCATCTCCTTCTGGGCGGCAGAGAGCTGGGAAGGGGCGGCCTTCTGGGAAACTGGGCTCTGAAGCAGGGGGTCCAGGTCGGTGTCTGGAACGGTGGGAGAGAGGGTCAGGGGGTCTTTCTCAGGAAGTTCCGGGGAGTGGAGCGGGGCTTCCTGGTGGCGGGCAGAGCGGGAGACGGGTGATAGCTGCGGCCCAGCTGCAGGGGGAGCTGGGTAGTGGGTCTCTTCCTGGGAAGCCGGGGGGCCCTGGAGGCGAGGCTCTCGCTCAGCAGCAGCGGGGTACAGGAGAGAAGGTCCCTTCTGGAGCACGGGCGGCATCTGGCCAGAAGTCTCTTGCTTGGGGGCACTGAGAGTCGGGGGCAGAGAGCCCTGCCGGGGAATGGTGGGAAACGAGGAGGGAGTCTCTTTTGGGGGGAGGACCCGGGCCTGGAACAGAGCTTCCCGGGGGAGTCCAGCAGGGGCTCGACGCAGGCTGTCTTCTTGAGGAGCACTGGGGAAGGACACGGGGGACGAGTGCCGGGCCTCCATGTCCAGCTGCTGGCCCTGTTTGCAAAGAAGGAAAGGAAAACACAGGGCTGAAGGTCGTAGTCTGCAGCTGGCAGAGCTCGTGGCAAAGGTAAGTTCCCCGTTCGGAGGGCCTCGGCCCCACAGCAGCACAACAGGGTCTGGCCAGGACTCTCTCCTTCAGGCTCCAGCACAGACTCAGAGTAAGTGACAAACTACCATGAACACCAAATACGATGATGGTTACCCGCCTGCTAGGAGCCCCAGTGACATGCTGATTAAGCGCTTGCCCGTTAACTGAAGGATTGGTGGCTTGAACCTACCAGCCACTCCCTGGAAGAAGGATGGGGCAGTCAGCTTCCAGAAAGACGACAGCCCCAGAAGCCCTATGGGGCCGTTCTACTCCGTCCCGTGGGGTCGCTATGAGTCGGAACCCGACTCGGCGGCTGTGGGTTTGGGGCCTGGACACTGCTTCTACTTTTTACTGAGCCATCTTCTTTCCCACAGCATGTCTTCACAGGTCTCTTCCTATGAGTATCGCCTGGGAGAGGGGGAGGGTGCTGGACTTGGGCCCTGTCTGTCCCTCGGCCTACCTGTGTCACCCCAAGCCAAGGCAACCCCCCGCTCAGCATCCTCCTGCAGAAAAGGACGATGACACCTACACACTTACAATTCACTGAGTTGTGTGGGTTAAGCAAGAAATAAAGAAGCACGAATCACTGAGGCTGTCAATGCCAAGTTCTGTAATTTTCACAAGACTCCAGCAAGGCAGAAATGGTCACTGGCTGCCCGGCGCTGCCACAGGCTTACAGGGACTCAATGGCGGACTTGACATCCAGCCTCCGCCTGGGCACGCCGCACGCCCTTTCCTTCACTGTCCAATAAGGACACAAAACCGTCGATTTACATTTCACCGACCCTCACTCTGATAGGATGAACTATTGACTTATCAATTCAGTTCTCAGCCTTTATAGGTCCCCAGCTCCCACTGTGAGCTGAATGGGCTTCTCGGCCTACACACTGACCTCTGGGACAGGCAGACAGAGGAGAGAGACACCAGACAGGCGAGGCCCTGACGATTCAGCCCTGCCTGGGAGGTGGGCTGCTGCAGGATGCGGGCTTGGTGGCCCTGCTCCCCCGCGAGGCGCGGGAAAGGGCGGGGATCGAGCAGAGCTCAGCGAGGCCAGTGTTGCTAATGGTCTCGAGACTCTGGAGACTAGAAGCAAACTGAAGACTCGACTCCCTCTGGAGACTCAGTGCCTCGCACTCTCCTGCTCCGCACCTGACACGTGCATGTTCAGAGCTCTTGGGCCATCAGGCAGTGAAGCCGAGGTCTGGGAGCGGCTAGGTCTGTGTTCACCTGTCCAGACAGCCAGTGTCTTCACTGAAACTGGGCTGAAGTTCCCACAACGCCTTTTGCCCATGGCTGCCCCTCCTCCTCAGGGAATGCGTGCCGATCACTACACCTCACATAACGACTGACCTTTAAAGTAAGTGAAAATCCCCTCGTGTCCATTTGAAAACTAGTGCATCCCTGGTGTCCGGTCTGGCACCTAGCACAAGCCAGATAAGTGCTGCTAGTGAATGACAAAGAAAGGCCATTTGAGCAAATAGTGAAGTTCTGTAGCCATCCACAGCAGTCATCTAAACCTACTTGATATATTCATTCATTCATTCATGTGTTGGGCCATTTAACTAAGATGGCAGCACACTTTAATGCCGAGGGCTGGAGTTTCAGGAGCTCTGCAGGCGAAAAGTTTTCCCAGTCTGACCCAACAGCTCTGCCCTAACTTAGTGTGAGAACTAATGCGCTGGCTGAGAGCTGTCATTCAGCATCTCTAACGGGCCAGGAACTGCATTAAGCATTTTAAAGCCTATTCTCTTGTGACCCTCACAACACCCCTATGAAGTGGGCGTTATGATCCACGTTTAGCAGAAGACGACGCAGGCTCCCAGAGGCTGAGTAACTCGCCCCAGAACATGTCGCACAGGCTACCAGATATGCCGCAGCAGGCCCCATCTGAAAACCAAAGTGGCTTAGAGTTCTGCATCCCTTTTACCTCTAACATTAAACCAAGACCTGTTGGAGGTTCAGTCAGGGTGGGTGGAAGGCCTGCCCTTAAAGCCCTTAAAGCCACTCTGTTGAAGTTGGACTCACAGACCCCTGTCAATGGAAGTTAAGATTCTCTTCTCAAAAAATACACATAAGCATGTCCACAAAACGCTACAAACACTTTTAAGACCTCTAGACCCTTCAACCTGAAGCTCACTGACAACCACACCACGGCTCATCTTTTTGCCCCCCACAGGTAAAGGCCAGCCTGGGCAGCCCTTGCTAGTGGGAGCCCCACGCAGAAGTGACTAGCCCAAAGCCACACAGTAGGCACATGATGGCCTGTCCAAAAACAGTTTGCGTGAGAGGCGATGGGGAGAGGTAAAACTGGGAGGAAGGGGAACCCACTCCCCCTGCCTGGGTCAGATTAGTTCCCTGAGGCACCCAGGAGCCCCAGTGCAGTAAATAAAGCCCAGGAGGAGTCCGATCAGAGCGCAAAGGAAAAGGCCACTTCCTTGCTGTCTGAGATTGGACCCTCTCCCTCCTCTCCATTTCTAGATTTGGGGGAATATACAGAGAGTTGGGGCCAAAGCAGCAAATCCTCTCCCCCACTTCCTCAAATAAAAGGGCCTTGCTGTAATTTCAGTGGCCCAGTAAAGCTATGGTTTGGTCTTACCCTAAGCAGAAAGAAATGGCCCCAAACAGGAACAGAGCTGTGAATATACTACCTGAATCACCCGCACACGTTCATAAACTGTTAGGATGGCTGCTTCGGACGCCAGTTTCAGATCTCTGAGCCCCTCCCTGTCTCATCAGTGGCTGGGGTCCCCAGCAGCCTGCTATGTTAGCAGAAAGCCGCACAACCAAGCACAGCTGACTTAAGAAAGCTGTGTCATTTTCCTGGAGGCCCAGTGTGGGTCATCAGGACAATATACCATCCAAGGGCCTGGAGACCTAAGCCCACAGGTAGGAAATTTCATCTCCATTTTACCTTATTTTTCCAAGAGCTTTTATTATCATTAATTATTAAGAGCTAGGGGGTTTTGCAGAAAGCACTTATCTGGACCCCTCCTACACCCAACAGGACACTGAGGTTGAAATGCGCCGACTCCACTGCAGTAAACCCTCCGGGCTGCCCACTGCACCTCCAGGGGCAGTTTGCAGACAGACTGAAGACTGGTTTCGAGGAATGGCCGGGGGAGGCGGGGGAACAGCAGCCTGCTAAGCCTCCGGAGCTGCTCCAAGACCCCATGCGTTTCGGCCTCGGGGCAGGAAACGCACCTGCCCCGCAGCCAGCCGCCCGCGGGCCACTGCCGGCCTCCCACCCCACCCGCCCGGCCCTG